TTGTCTGTTCCCCTTCCCCCAATTCCCCAGTGCTGTTCCTATCCCCCAATTCCCCAATAAAAATCTTTAAAAACAAAAAACAAAAAACAAAACCACCTTAATTCTTTAAAAGCAACGTGAAGATCCACAAGCAAAATCTGCTTCAAAAGTAAAGGCAAAAGGAAATCACTTTATGTCCTTCGTTTCGCAGACTGCTGTCCCTCTGCCTTAAAGGATTGCATGTGTACCTCACTAGCAGTTTTCAAAAGGCAAGTATTAGCGTATATGACTCCTTGAGTAGTTCTTAAGTGGACCTGGACCATCAGCATCAGCATCACCGGGGGATTTTCTGGAAATGCAAATTTGGAGGCCTTACCTGACACCAACTAATCTATACTTGGAAGGTGGGTGAGGCGGTTAAGGCAAGCAGCCACCTGCCTGTCTCTAAGTCACTCTGAATTACGGAAGTGTAAAGTGAGAACTGCCACACACACACCCATCTTCCCAGCACTGGCTTCTGTGGGGGTTCTTTTTATTCTTTGGTCCTTGATGGGGTCTTCTCTTGAGGGGGGTTATGGAGATTTATTGTTGGCAAGCTATACCTCCCCCAAATGAGCACCTCCATAATACCTGGGTCAGAGTAAGGAAAAAGTGCCTATTTCCTGGGTGTAGGTGGAATAGCAGTAAGTACATTTTACCTGCCCACTGATTTGAATGATACATAGAAAACAGTCATCTTTACCTACGGAGCCTTGAGGAAGGCTGCCCCAAATTGAAATGTGAAAGGTCCAATTCAGGCATTACCTGTAAGTGAATCTTCTATTCACATAGATAACAGTAGATATTCACAGTGGATAACATAAAAAGAATATAACATCTTGGTGGAAACAGTTATCAAGATCCTAAAGTTGCCCTAGGATTGCGGTCCATAAGAAAATATAAGAACATGGTAAGAAGTCAAATTATAACTATAATTAACTTAATTTCAACTGTTATTAGGTTTAACTTAATTTCTGCAAGCTTTGAAGCTGTTTTGAGTACCACATAAACCGAATTTGAGCTAAACCACTAAACCAATAGATAAAAGAAATTAACACTTAAAACAAAATAAACAAGTCAATAATTACATTGCAATCACCACTAACCTGTAATCATGCTTCAAAGTATCTATAAGTATCTATAGCTGAAACAGGTTATTCATTTGAAACAGTGTCACTGTTTGGTTTGAATAGCAGCTTTCTGTCTCATCCCCAGTGGGAACACTTTCCCTCTCACATTCTAAACTGAGACAAAGTTATCTATACTTTTCATAATTCGTTGGGTCAGTTACAAGTCAGAGATGCCTGTTTTTAATGTTTGATAAATTATCTACCTAGAGATTGCAAGCTGAACAGATAGCTCCTAAATCTCAGGCACAATTCTTGGAATTTTATGTTTGTTCTTAAATCCTATTCTGCCATGTTCTCATTCATTCAGTTGTTGCATTTAGGTTTTATGTCAAATTACGTCTTCCACGAATCACCACTACCTGACAGCTACTGACCTTAATCTTGGGGTTTTTTTACCAGTCACTTCAAAGGAGTTCAACTCCTTAACCTGGGCACTGTATAGTTCAGCACAACACCCTTCCTCAGAACTGCAAACACCCACGCCACTGTTACTTCCTGACATCCATGTTGACTGAAACTGCTCTCTAGAATTCAAATGAGAATGAAAATTAAAGTCAACAAATAGATTGGCTGGCCTAAGACAGTGAAGCATGGCCTACTAGCCCTCTTTGGCCACGAGCATACATCATATAGCAGGTGATGAAGAGTGAAGAGAACAGGACCAAATTGGGGGAGGAGGGGCTGGACAGCTAGGAAGACTCTCTGCAGGGCCTTGTGAGCGATCTTCAATTAAGGATTTCAAACAAGTGTCAGAATCAGACTCCAATTTTAAAACACTATAGTAAGAGACCTAGACATCTTGCCACAAGAAAATATTAACTGGAGTAGTTGAGCCAGAAGACAAAGGAATAACCTTTTCCAGCACTATTTCTGACAAAGTGAATACTATATGTGGGAAGCT